AAAACAAGTCCCGAAATGAGACAGGGACCCAGTCTACCTCAGCAGTTAACTCATCAGGCAGTTGGTAACTCGAGATCTGTGTGTGGATTCAAACCCCAGCTGCAACCATCAGGCAGTGGGAACCTCACCAGCCCAGCCTAGCTTCAAACCCAGGCTTCACTAATATATATGTATATGTGTGTTGTCATATTCGCTATGCACTCAAAAAAAGCATGACTGTACCAGACTGTTTCGTCGGACTTTCACCGACTCATCAGGAGGTTGAACCCCGACAGTCTGCCCATGATGCATTTGACTGATGGATAAGGACTCCCCACATCGCCAGTATGTATGTATATGTATCTATGTATGTGTGTGTGTGTGCGTACATGCATGGGTGGGTGGGCAGGAACAGGCAGGCACATGTGTGAGTGTGTGAGCGGGCAGGCATAACAAACTTTTGCATTGGATTTGAACTTAGCCTGTGGAAAACAAACACGATAGTCAAACAACCTTTTCTTTTCCTCTTTTCCCTGGGCCCCAAAGTTGGGTCTCTGCACCCACCACGCAAAAACAAATCATTGCGAAGCACTCGTGTCTCGGACCCATTTTTCCGTTTCAGTAAACTTCTCCCCACATGCTCTGACACACTTTCCCTTTACAGAATATTTCTTTACTCTCTGGCTGACAACCTGGCACTCTCTAACACATGTTATCACATGGCCAACATTCCTTCTGTGCACTTTTGCGCCTCTGCAGCTTCCCCGATACACCCATCGAGCATTGCCAGCACCAAATGTCAACAACGAGTATTTCAGATCAAACCTCAGCCAGGGTCAGAGCCCGCAGCTGATAAAAGTTACTAGTTTGTAGCATATATATAACTAAACAAGCAGGTGCAGCCAGCGCAGCTCCGCCCGCAAAAAAAGTCAGGAAGCAACCCCAATGCTCACTTCGCTCTTTCTGTATCTGACTCTTAATTTCTTTGTTAGTGTATGGCTGGTGCTTTCTGTATCCCTGTTTTAGCTCTTGGCGTCTTCTGTCTTTCTAAGTGTTTGTGGAAAGCAGAATAGTAAACAGCAATAGTCACAAACAGCAAGGTCATACACGGTCACAAACAGAATAGTAAACAGCAACGAATCTTCAACGATTCGAAGAACATTATCATCGTCACCGAGAAAGAGTAGAAAACAGAATCGCTAAAAATAAACCGGCCACAAACGCCATCCACATATTCAATTTCACCGATTCGATCAACAATTGGTCAAGTTATGTTGACCGGTCACACCGCCCTCAGCTCTCTCTCTCTCTCTCTCTCTCTCTCTCTCTCTCTCTCTCTCTCTCTCTCCATGTATTATTTGTCTATTGGATTGCTCTAAGTTTTATTCTGAAAAGGGCGACCCAATGATGGAAAAACTGAGATCCTAATCTCAATAGTATAGACGACGCTCTTTTTCTTTTTTTTTCTTTTTTTTTTTCCTTTCTCATTTGTTTTTCCTGCTACACACACAGCGTCAGAGCTCCCTGGAACTTCGGGAGCTCGCACCAGTCTGACAGTACATGCGGAAAAGAGCTACCCCCCCCCTTTAGCACCTCCCCACCGAGCCGGCCGAAGCACCTACACACCACCTCCCCACCGAGCCGGCCGAAGCACCT